TCACACTTTTTCACAGCTGTCCGCAGGCTCCCAGTCAGCTCCAGCGCGGGAGGAGTGGGAAGGGCCGCAACGCATCCAAGTGTCTTCTGCGTCTTTCTTCCAAAGAGCAGCTCCCCAGCCTGGGCGACAGCAAGCCTCCGCTGCAATACTGCAGGACACCAAGCAAGTAATTCTGGAAACCTGACTAACACAAACCAAAGAACAAACAACAAAAGCAAAACTGAGAATATATTTTGTAAGAAATAAATCCATCCATCCAATGATGCTCTACCCACGATACAATGCATGAAATGCCAAATATTAGAAATAAATGAATAAATAAACAAACCAAAAAAGGGCTCTCCAACTTACAATTTGCAGCTAACTATGAAGTAAAGAGTTGCTACCATGAGTAAAGCAGTGTTTGTAAATGAAGTAATAGGGGCTTTTTTGGTATCAGCTGGTAAGAGACATTCCGTACATACAAACGTTGCTTTATGATCTTAGATCAACATAAAGCCACTATAAAACTAATTCTTTATTTGAAGTTTTTGGGCTGGTAATTTTTGTAATCAAGTGTTCACTCCAACCAACCATTCACCCTCCCATCTGAAACACACGATTCCTGTCACATCAGAAGAGCTATCAATATTCACTAACCTGCCTTGAACTCGCTTCTAGATTTACTACCTTAATTAGAAAGCATGACTTTTAAGAGTTTATTATTGTAGTAAGACGGTAAAAAGCTAATCCAGAATTACTGATGCATTGGCCTTCCTTTTGAGACTCCGAAGGATCTGTTTTAAGGAATAACCGTCCAACCTCTGAAACCGCAGAGGCAGAACAACCCATTTTACCTGTGGGCGCCTCTCCCCCGCCATGGGCGAGCAGCCGTGTACCAGCCAGCCGAGGCACGCTGGGGACTCGCTTCCCACTGGCCTTGTCTTAGGAGGGCCTTGTGAACCCTTCCTCACCACGTAACCACGTGCCAAGCGTCACAGGGGCATGGCCGTGATGGGAGCAGATATGCAGCAGTGATGCCCGCATTTCCCTCACGTAACGGGAAATGAGGTTCGTGTTGAATGGTTCTTGGGTACCTCCCACACAGACTGCACCTCCTGCTGCCTCCAAAGTGAGCCTGCCAACTTGGCCATCCTCTCCTGCCAAAATGCATGTGAACTGAATGCTCCGATGCTGCTGTTCCCTAACCATGCTCCTCTTCTGCTGACCTCACGTAGCACTGTATTGTACAAGCCTGCAAAGAAATCATGGGATAGAAACACATTTGGCCATCGCGCCCAGGAACATAATGCATCGACCAACTCAATCAACCACCACGAAAACAAGGAAGCGCCCCTGATGACTGCCTACATGACACGATAAATGTGTTTACTTGTACCAACAGACTTCTAAGGTACCACAGACAGAGCACGTGGTGAGTCTTCATGGCCAGGCATGCTACGGATGCTGCATTCTAAGTTCCCGACTCGAACATTTACAGCCTTTTCAGCTTTGAGGCCTTACGTTTGCTACGTTTTAGTTTGCACATTACAGTGGGGTGCAAGAAAAGCCAACATCACTTGCTTCTGCACATGAAGAACACAGGAGAGAGTGTTCCTTAGTCCATTTCCTCTACACCTCTATCATCACATTTCTTAGCCCTGATCTCCATCACTTGCAATAGGAACTGGAATTCAGGCACAGCTAATGAGTCACAGGCTGGATGCGGCCTGCTGCTATCTACCAAGACAAAACCACATTAAAAATGCTTAACATACATTTCCTCCATTCATTTGTTACCAAATCAAAATTGTATTGGCGGGGAAAAGCAGCATGCAGTCGCAAAATTTAAAACCATCACACAACGCAGAGCCATAAAAAAATGGAATTAGGCTTATACAAGCATCTCAAATTGCTCATTTGAGTAGCACCCGAATTTTCTCCTTCAAAATCTGCACTCACATACCATACGATAGTGTTTTATTATTTTAAACAAACTTACAAATAATAGACAGCTTGAACCCATGTATATAATCAATCATTTTGGCTCAAAGTCCTCTAACTACACATGGGTATCTGCAACTTAGAATGGGATACTGGGAAAAACAGTCAGCTAAATGCATGCCTGCAGCAGCATTGCCCCGGCCAGAGTGTTAAACAGTAAAAATTTCTGCATATTTCATGAAAACATAATTGCATCCACTTACACTGTGGGGAACTAACATGTCTCAGGTCTGACTGAAGCAAGCACTTCCCTGAGCCCGACCAGTGCTGCCTCTGAAGGCGCCACTAGTTGAGCAGCTCTGCTGTAGAAGCAAGCATGTCACTGACACAGAACTGCTCAAAGAAAAACAAATACAAAAATTAAGAATTGTACCAAAAAGAAAAAAGACAGAATTTAGTCTGATTGCATCATTCTCTATATTCATCATCATTCCCAAGTGCTCCTACAGCACTTAAGCTTGTCATGGAGCCTGAAGCCCTCAAACGTTTCATACTAACTCTTCCTGGTCTCTCACACTCCAGTAATTTTTAAGTAATTTACACAAAATATGAGCCTCACAAGGCATTTTGCATTACATAAAATCACAGACCATTCCTCTAAGCTTAGCAATAAGAGAGCTACTCAAACAGACAGGCTTGGAAAAGGAATGCGCTGTAACCACTCCACTCTGTACCAATGAAAGGAATTAAAAGTTTAAAGCTAGTTTGTATTTTCTGTTCAAATTATAAGGATTTTTTTTTTTTTTAACAAATAAGAGATAAATATGTCAAAGCATTTCCTTGCTATTTAAAGTTAGAATGCAGTATTAGTAGGAGTTGCAATGGATTCAGCAGCTATAGATGCTATTAACTATATTGAAAAGTTTCTGCCACTGTGCTATAGCAATACTCCCATTTCAGAACACCGAAGTAGTAGTACTGAAAAGGGTAAACACTCAGTAGATTTCAAGACTTGGCATTTTTTGGGGTTTAGATTTTTTTTTAATGCTTGTTCAACATCTTTATTCAAGTCTTCCTTTAAATTTGCGTCCAGGCTCCAATGCACATTCAAAGTAGAGGAATTTGACTGAAGAAATGCAGTACTGATAAAGATACTTCTCTTAAAATGAAAAATGCTTTCATGGGCACCTACAAAATACGCCGAAGGCAGACATTTCAAGATCATAAAACTGATCGAGCTCACACCAATAAAACAAATACACATAGACAGGCACAAATACCAACCCGTTTTAAAAATCGACCTATCATTAGCTTGAGACCAAAGACACCAAATCTCAGAGTTAATCTGAATTTCAGGTGTGCTCACACAACCATACCGCTGGGCAAAAGAACAGCTCTGCTGCTCGGAGACCGCAGGAGACACTTACCTGGCAAGCTAGCAAAGCAAGCTGAAGTATATCAGCTTCCACAGAGCTGACGTGACACAGCGGCCTGGTCACCAACTCCTTGTCTCAGTTTCACTGCCTGCATTTCTAAAAGTTATCCCAGTTCTGAAGCTTGACCAAGGGATGAATATTTCACGTATTTACAATAAACAAACAGGAGCACCTCTACAAGCCAGAAAGTGTACTTCTCCCTTCCCGCTAAAGAGTAAAGTGGTTTGTATTTTTTTACAATTATAAAGATCCCTGACAAAGACCGTACGGAAATGTAAAGTCATAAATCAGCACCCAAGATAAACTACTGATGTTCACAATGACAAAGTTGAACCTTACTGCAAAAGTTTCATTTTTAACTTCTCTGAGGAAAAAGAAAAAAAAAAATCAGCACTGAAATTAGTTCTGTTTCATCCTTCAAAATTTAAACCCTTAAAAACCTATCCTTTAAAAAACATAGAATAGTGATATGCCAGCATACTGGTATCAGCTTGAAGGAAGAGGTAATGATAGATGTGACCCAAAATACAGGAAAAGCATAAAACCCCTGAAGGTGAAGGCAAAAGTCCATGGAGCAGACAACACTGGAGGTGTCATTTCTCTTGTCCCACTATTCCAGGATCAGTTATTGAAGATACCGCCTGATACGCTCTCATACTCATGTGTCGGTGGCTCAGCATAGCTAGCTGGAGCTGGCATGTTAAATACTTTTTTTTCCTCCTTCCTTCAGAAAATGAACACTCAAATAAATGCAGGGAAAAGATGAATTAACAGATTCAATAGGACGAGCAGAATTCCATTTTGCCTATTTTCCCAAACATGCTTTTTCCTCCCCACAGCTGATGGGAGTTTGTTTGCTTTGTAAATGCAGCTGCCCTCCTCATTCCAAACGCAGTTTTCCATACAGCAGATTCAGGCACTCCAGTCGATCAATCTGTGTTAAGGAATGTTTTTTGCTGCGCCTGTGGTTAATCTGTTTGTAGGTGCCTCCTGAAGGGCTTTTACACAGCATTCACTGTGTCTCAGGGAAGCCCAACTCCACATACCAAACGTCTGTCCAGACAGGGTCCAAGTGGGAAAGACGCGTCCAGCAACGCTCCACGTCCCATAGCACTATAACATACATAGCACCAAAATACAGTTTAACCATATTAATCCTTAAGCTGTGCTTACATTAACAGTACACAAAGTATATCATCTATTACCTTGGACAAAGTGGTTGCCCATTTTGAATTAGAAAAATATTTTTAAAATCGTAAACCCTTAAAGCATGAAGTAAAAAGGACCCGTGTCCACCTTATTACTTTAAGCGAATGGTTCTTTGGTCAGGACACAATCTCGTCAGTGCAACTTTATGGAATACGTTCCTTACTGAATTAAACAGAATAATGCATGGGAGGAAATTCAAAAGATTCAACAAAACAAAGGCTTACATAAAATCTCTGGTCATAAGAAATCAGCCTACTTTTAATACTGTTAATTCTTCTTGCTCCGTTGAGTATTCTGTTGCTCCACAGCATGGGAAAAGCAAACAAATCACAAAACCAAACATTAGAATATAATTTTTTTTAATTTTTATAAATAACTTATCTGTTACAAAGGCAGTTTACCCAGCTAAATCACAAAACCATCAACTCAAGATATCCAAATTAGGTTTTATTAATAAACAGGTAAAAACTGATTTGTCAATCTTCACATAGAACTGCAGATGAAGCTGAAAAACAAGGCCTCAATTTATAAACAAAATGCATTGAATGCAAGTGCTTTGGGTCTACTGCCTAATTACCTGGGACTGGCATTTCCTTCCCACGTAAAAAAAATGCAAAGCCTTCAAAACAAAGGCCTCTGTGCATTCACATAGATCACTTGTAAAACTCCTAAGGAAAGTGTCCACTGGCAAATGTTTACAGTGGGTGACAGTCTACTTTGTCTCTTGCTACATGGTTAGCACTCCCTCCAGCCTCACGCTAAGTGCTGCTACATAATTCTTTGCGTGCCGTCTTTTCATGCATACTGTACTGGAATTCCATTTTCTTGATCTCGGTTACATACATCCCCGATCATGTGAATATTTTCCTTAAAAAAATAGATCATCAAAATAAAAGAGATGCTTGAGGTTGCTTCAGTGTTCAAGTCTGTTTGATTTCTCTTTTCCAGCCTTTATTTCAGTTGTCCTAAATATTGCTATCCTTGTTTTCTATAAATATGAGACTTCACCACAGTCAGGTTTGGAAACTGGCTGCCAAAACAGGAAAGCATTTAAAGTCCTTGAACAAAGCTGTACGATGCTGCTGCTGTTGGTTTTGGCACTGTATGTACTTCCCCAATGAATCTCTCTTCAGGAGTCTGCAAGATACCCAGCAGATGAAGCAAGCTTAAATCGGATGCTGATCTGTTGGTGGGTTGAAAGTTTCTTAGTACAAAGTTTCCTCACGCCAGACAAAACGCTACCTTGTGTCACCCACCGTAAAACTCAGTGTACAGAGTGAACTATATGCATAACTCTTCCAACTTCTCCTGCATTTTTACCACGCTGCATCTGCAGGTCTTCACAGATCATCAGCATTTACAAGAGCAATGTACAGAATGAGCAGAGGAAAGCTATTTTGTGCATAGTTTCTTATTAATGCTCTTATTTTAAGGCATTGCTTCTCTCAGATAAAAGCTTAAAAAAAAGGGACATGATCGTGCTTAATCACTTAAAGGGAAAAAAAGAAAGTTAACAAAAAGACTATTACACTATACATACAGAAGTACAAGAAAATAATAAAGGTGAAGAAAAGAAATCACTTAAAGCAGGCTCTAGAGCTATGTACAGTAGGAAAAGCTTTGGGGTATTTCACTGTGTGTATTGTACAGACAACGCATGCAGTTTTTCCTTTTCATCTTTAGATGTGATTGTACTGATTTCTGGCTTCACAGAGATGTTTTCAGGGAAGACAAGGCAAAGAGTACCACTGATTTGTGAAGTTCTTCCCTTTATCGAAGGCACTATGTGGCAGCAAACAGTTTAAACAGTTAAACCTTGTTCCTTTTAGATCTCCTCTGTGCATGTAGTGTTTCACTGAAAGCTCTGAAAACAAAAACGCTAGCACTCTATTCCTTTCCCCTGTCAAAATTCAGTAGTGACATCGGGGCAGAGAAGAGGATGGGCAACACCCAAGCACTGAACATGGTGTGTGTTACTGGGATACTGGTAATACTGTACATGGTTTAGGCAGCTGGCAACCGAGTCTTTCAGCAGATTACCTTTCAGCCGATCAATTTCAACTGCCTGTGACACAACACTGAGGTATTACTAGCTCTGTGGGCTGACATTTAACATTAGCAAAATACCATCTTGTCACACCTTCAATTTTACAAAATCCTACGCATAAATGCTTTTTTTGCCCCCCAATGACTGGATAGCTCCTTGTACGTTTGCTGTGGTTTTACAAAAGCTAACGGGCCTGTTGGCTCAGAAATGCCTGGGCATTTCACACTGTTCACAGCGATTTAAGGCCGGATGATTTAAAAAAGTACAGGCAGTACAACTCCACTGAGCTCCCTCATCTTCATCTGCGTCTGGAACAGTCTTTGGTGTTTTCACAATGGACCTCTGATCTGTGACATGAAAGAGATAAGATAAGCAGTTACTAACCAAGAACAGCATGGAAAGAATTTTGAGATGATTTTTTTTTTCAGTAACCGAGAACTATCTTGTTCCTCTGAGAACAAGTGACAGAGGCAGCTTTTTACCACCCCCTTGACTACAGCTTGATTGCAAGTCAGCCAAATGGCACAAGGTGAAACTATAAAAAGCAAGTTTCCCATCCCTTCACCCTGCTTTCTTCCTTTTTGGTCTCAGTTCAAAGCTATTGCATGAAAAGGAGATAAAATTTAGAAATCAATCAGCACAGGAAACATGCACAAGATTTAGAAGTCTGAGATCTATGGAGCAGTCTAAACTTCATTATGACATAAAATAAATGCTCTGTAACCTTTCGACATATTTAACATTTTGACCCTCGAATGAGTATCAGCAGTTCTTCCTCAAACCAGACAAGCAGTCAGATACAGTAAAGAAAAATGAATGCCTAGCTCTGTCATGCTAGAGAGTAATCCTCCCAAGTGTACAAGCGCATCTTTTTTGCACGGTGTTAGACAGCAACCTTCAACGATTTTAAAAGAGAAAAGATGAAAAGAGAAGAGAGATGAAAAAGATCCAAAAGACAGAAGAGTGACTTCTCAAGTTAAGCGCTCCCGGTTTAGGCAACTGCCGCAAAGTCTTTTTGGCCAATTATCTCAACTGGAGAAGCCCTCAGCAGCAGCTAGGTAATGGCAACTGCTGCACAATGACAGCGGCAGCTTCGGGAGGTCCAATGCTACTGGTCACGACTGCAAAAGGAATTGCCTTTCATTCTTTTGTGAACAGTGGTAATTCTGGTTTAAGTCACAGCCTACATCACAGTTAAACTGAAACTTGAACCAAAAATTAAAGTTAATGAAGGACTAAGATACAGTAGTGATACTTTTAAAAAAAGACAGACAGAAAGACAGGTAAGGTTATAAACCTTCAGAGGTTTATAAACCAGACAGGGTTAACTTTGCATTTTCAAGATAGGTTGTACCAAATTATTAAACACTTAAATTTGTGAGTTCCTAGAAGATGAGTCAATGAAAAGGCTAACAACTAGTCACAGAAAATTAATTTAAATTTTCTTCTTTGATAGGTTGTTTTTTTTTTACTGTAAAGGGAACAACTTAATTGACAGAACTTTTGATAATCAAAATTCTTCATGGTTCAGCTGTAAAATGTGTCTAATAGGACTGCGTATGGGTTTAACTTTACTCAGTATTTTCCCTAACAGCTTGGATAAAAAAGGATCAATAAAACCTTAAAGCATGAAGAACAGTATCAGTTTGGAGGAGTTACAAACAGTCTGGAGGACAAAAAAAATAATCCAATTATCTAGACCACTTTGAAATACAGAATGGTCAGAAATCCATAAGATGAGATTCCGTAGCAACAGTTACTGCACACTACAAGGACCAAGCATGCGCACACACACATATATTATGTGGAGAACTTCCTGGACAGAAACATCAGTGGATTATCCATTTCACTTGGTGGTCTCCCTATAGTTCATAGTACGATGCTGTTGCAAACAAGTTAATTTCATTCCTTGCTCTATGTAACACACAAGAGGTAATTATTCTGTTTTATTAATGACAAGCAGAATGTTCAAGACTGATGAATACGTTCACCAATACTGTCTGCCCTATTGGGGAGCATTCCTCTCCTCTTCAGACATCTAAAACTATGTTTAATGATAGTCAGAAGAGGCTTTCACATAAATTGTTAAATTCTACAGTAGTCAGGAAGTCCAGTCAGGGTAACCAAACTGAGTTAGTGTAACATACGCGTAAATCCACTCTTTACCAAGGACAACGACGAAGTCATCTAAGCCAGTTTCACTCATCCCTAAGCAATGTATCTCACATTCATTTAAAAAAAAAAAGAGGGAGGCTTCCATTTACTGAAACCACCTCCCCAACATATTATCCATCTTTAAACATACCCTATTTAATATACATCTTTTTCCTGAATGTATGAATAGAGAGGAAACGAGCAAACAGAAGCATATTTACTGCCAAAACAAATAAAATGCAAGGTTGGTATGCTTTTGAAGTAATCTACAGTCATAGAACAGAACTTGATATTAGATGCAAACCAGATATTAGTATTAAATCTAAATTTTACCAGTACAGTACCTTTGGGTTTTGGTGGCACCGGACCAAGAAATCCAATATTATCGTAAAAATTATGAATAGCGCTGGGATTAAAATGTGGTCCTAAAAATAAAATAAAAAAAGAAAGTGCAGCAGTTTTAAAAATAAACTTGGGTAGGAAAGCATATCAGGTATTTTTGGCAGTAATTCTGAAACAGTACTATTATTCACTTATCACTTCTTATATCAAGGTGCCAATACAGACCCAAGTGAGATATTAGTTATGTCAACAATACACTCGAAGAAACTTGTTGCCCAAAATATGCAATATAAAGTCAGAAGCAGAATCCAGCAGACCAAACTCCTTAAATATGTTTTTTCTGCCAGTCTTAAACACTTAACGGCATTTTATTAGTAAATTTTACCTGAGACTTTTTCTAAATTGTAACTATACTGAAAGAGATGTGCTATCTGCTATGCAATATATTATATATGCTCAGATGTAACACTTAGTGGAACTCCTAACTCCAATTTACTGCAACAAACAGGTATAAAACCACATGCAATTTGAATATTCTATTTAAGGCCAAGTTTTTAGTACAGCTTTACATTCAACACACCTGTCTACTCTCTCCTTATCTGCAGGTACATTATCTGAAGGAGAACTCCCATGGCTCATGACTGAACTGATCTAACAGCTCGCTGCTGCTTAAAGTCGAGAGCATTTGTCCCTTCCCCCTCACTATCTCCGTTCTCCCTTCCCATGCCTCTCCCTCACATCAGTTGTAGCAAGCTTTTCCAGCAATGCAACATTTTTTGCTTGGCTAGTGAGCAGAATCAGCCCTGCAAAGGGTCTAAAGAACTAATCCAGAGCCAGAGCACAGCAAGGGGCAAGAGGGAAGCAGGAAGAGAGAGGGACCTCTTGTTGGCAGCTCTTGAATTGGCTCAGCTGTCTCATAATTTTACCCTTATGACCAAAGGCTGTGTTCCCTGCAGACAAGGAAAGTGGGAGGAGGAGAGCATGCTGGAAGTTACAACTATGCTTTATATTTGCTAACTTGAGAGGCTGAATACACGGCAGAAGAAGTGGAAGACAAGAGAGAGATGGACACATACGTATGGCTGCATCATTTAGAAAATAACAACTCCCTCTTCTCTGATACTCAAATAACCAGATTTTCCCCCCCAGAATTTATTAAGTAAATGGCATCACAAGTTTCTCTCTTCTGAGCCAAGTATGAGATAGGAATGACCGTGGGATTAGGAAAATCATAAAGCCAACAAAAACAACAGTCTTACAAGACAATTACTTCCATGGTTTCACTCAAACTAATGTGATGATTTTGCTATTAGTGTGTATACCCATCCCTTATAACAGACGCTTTTGATACATGCAGACAACAAAAAAAGAAAGGAAAAAAAATATTTAACATTTACAGTTGCCAATGTACTAAGACATACTGTACCTCTTGCTTGAAAAAGATCAATCTCTTTGGTTAGGCAATCTATGTCTATCTGCAGCTGTCTGTTACAACTTCTTAGCTGTTGCATTTCTTCCAGCTGAAAAAATAAATCTGCCTGTTAGACTAAGTTTTCCCATTTTCTTATCAGTTATCATTCACACATAGGTAGACAGCATCCAGTTATTTCAGACGTGAAGATAAAAGAACCTTCCCTTATAATGACCTTTCTTTTAATCCAAGCAGAATCTTACAAAAGCTTTCAGACCCACTGAATTCTTCTCTCTCATCAGACTTCAGAGCTGACTGAACAACTCCAGATTGTGGTCAGGACACAGCCAATGGTCCACCAGATCAATGGCTGATCTTCTGGCACTGAAAACTGATGCATTAATCAGTTTCTTTGAGATTGGTATATGCATGAAGACCAAAAAAATACTTTATGTGGAAAGCAATATGAGTATTAAGTTGTAGCCTGAAGGATTAGGTAATCATGCCTCTAAGAACATCTGGAAGGACTACCAGGTCAAACCTTTTGTGACTGCCTTTAAAAGCAAAACTTCACAAAGCAATTAGTGAACTGAAAGGTTGTGGTTAAATAACAGGTATTTAGTTTTTACTCTGAACTACACTGTTTACTACTTTAATTCTAGCTATACCGTCTGTCACTAGTATATTGTCAATATATGAGCAACTGTTCCTTTAATTTATTGTGACAGACCACACTTGTGGTTTAGGTTTATAGCCTACAGACGTTTCAACTTACTGATGGAATTTGGGAAACAGAATTCGATCTTTTCAGGCGCCTTCGTGTTAGATTATTCTCCATTTCATTGACCTCTGATTTTAGTTTATCCAACTTTTTCTTTTGAATCTCAAGTTCTCGTTGAAGTCGCTCCATCCTGGCCTTCTGGTGTACCAGTAAAGCTGCAATACATAAAGTCCCATTTTATCTACTTTATTATCCTTCACAGGGCAACATCAGATAAAGATGAAAGTCAGTATTCTTTTGGGAAAATACAGGCAAAAACATTGCTACAGATTGCTTTTCTATTCTCCTCACAAGAAAATCTCTGCCCTAAGACAGAAAGTGTTGTATTTTGGAAAACAGCACAAATCAATTACAGACAACAAGCAAATACAATGAGAAAGTCATACAATGTAACGGATGACCATGCAGAATTTCGCTGTAATCTGTAAAAATCTTTTTCAAGAACCCAACCAATCTACAAGAATGACTACCAGAAAACAGCAACAGATGTTTCCTTGCATTGTGTTCAGCCCAACCATTGTAAAACAGGTAGTATGAAGCATATTTCAGAGAGACGGCTGCAATACAGAGCACTATATAGCACTTGATGCTAGATAAGCATCAAGATTTTAATTTTTATTGCTATTTAGATTGGAACATAATCCAGCGTTCTTGCCATAGCAGGAGACACCACATGAAACTAAACCAGCAAGTACTACAAGCAATACCACTGGCAAACATCAGTTATATTTATCACAGAGGCCGGACTGTATGCCATTTTATCCCTAAACTATGGTGCAGAACCATTAGCTCAGCTTCTAATTTCTAACACTGCTTACTATTTGTAAAGAAAATAGCATGAGGAGACCTAATTTAGGAACTATGAAGTTAGCATTTAACTGCAGCTTTCTAAAGCTATGAAGAACTTAAGTAGCAGAAGACACAATCAGATTCATACAATTTAAGGAGTTTATCTCCTTTAATAGTAGGTATGCTATTAAATATCACCACATGAGCAGGTAACACTGCTCAAAGCAATAATCACCTTCTATAAAAATGAAAAAGTATTTCATTAAATAAACCAACAACCATTTGAATTTCTGCACAGCCATTCATTCATCTGTTCAATTACTAATTTGCATAAACTGGGATTAGTTTCACAGACTATGGATACCTTTATAGCACTGTGGAAATTATAAAAAAGTAGTAATAATGAGGTATTTTAAAAAGATTGAATTTGCCTCACAAAGTGTTTAAGCAAAACTCTGGCTGGAACGTGATGTTTAATTCACCACGATTTCTTCAGGTACCAAAAAATTAGAAGCACTCAAACTTGGCTGGTTTGGTTTCCTGAGTAATAGCAGAGGAAAAAACCAGCACATCAAGAAGATGCAACTTTCCACATCTTCGGTGAGCAGAACTGCCCTCTGCTGCAATTCTGGCTTGTTCATTCATTCACACATCCTATTTTGTCTTCCAGAGGTTCCTCAAAAGGACAAACCATGCCAAACTATTTTTGTACAGGGTTACAGAACTGCAAGGCTTTAATGAGATTCAGCCTAGGCTTTTGAGACAGGTGTTCAAAAAGATACTGAAATGAAAAAACTGCTTGAGCTTCTGCTTGGTTTTGTTCAATTTAGAGATACCTGCATGAACAGGCCCCTTTTATTTGGGGTAACTACTAGTCACACTATAGTTAAGAGTTGTAGCTGTGCTCATACGTAATACAAAAACATAGTAACTGAAATCCCAGGATAAAGACTTTTGTGGAAGTCTTGGAATCATCAGGTAAGTAGTCTCAAAAGACACCCTTCCCTCTTGAAAAGTCTTTTAAAAAAGGACCTTTTTCCTATCTACGGACTCCAGGAGTTACAAATGTAGCTGCAACTATAAAGAAAGGAAATCACAGACTATGCCTCTACCCTTGCAGATGTTCCTTCTACACTTTATTTCCACTTTTTAGGTAGTCTCTTCTATTTTCATTCCCTTGGTATTAACTGCTGAGGCAACTCCCTGAAGCCCAGTTACTGGTCCTTGACCAGCAGCAACACAGCTATGCTCTACCGACCAGACTCCCGGAGGACTTTGCCCTATCCCCCCTCCCCCCCCCTTTTTTAAGCTACTCTTATAAAGGGAAAAAACCCACAACTTCTCATTTCAATGTTTTCCCACTTCTGTGGTTTAGAAATTAAGCTGTCATTATGGAACTGCACAGGGAGCGGAAGGCGCTGATGGATGCCCACAGCACTATTACATGCTCTTCATTTTCACATCACTTTCCAGACACGATCAAATTTATTCTCCTAGCAGCTTTGTGACTACTTTACCATTTTACAGTTTCAAATCCCAACAGATTTTAAACACACTAATTACAAAATTACCACCATGATTAAAGAAGAATCACTTGATATTGCTATGCTAAACTTGTACGATTAAAAATAACTTGGATAAGGGACTGGCAAGACATTGGTTTCAGTGGTGGTTTTCACACAGAATTTGGTAATTTTGCTTAAATACTAATTTGGCAGCTGTAGGAAAAAATGGGGTGGGGAAGACAAAATCTCCCCATATCCCACAGCTATATTTATTAATGGAAAACAGCAATTTAAGTATTCAGCTCCCTCTAGCGTTGATCAGAGCAACTGAAAACATTAAGAAAAAACTGCGGTGCATCTCTGAATCTAATGCAATTCAGCTACCGGATCTAGTTTACCCTGTCCACAAGGAGACATTTAATGGTCTTTTTTATAATCCTATGCTTCTTGCAGGAAGGGGATTCCACCTATCCAGGCAGCATAGGCACACCCAATTTTACTCTACATAGACTAACCTGGAGTACAAGCCCGAAAGCCTCAGGCGTGCACTTGTTTATTCAGACGTCCTTAAAAAGAAACTATTTAATCATCCTAGCAAAAGAAGCACAAAGATTGCCTCCTTGACTCATCATTATTGTACCACAACCAGAATAGAGTTCATGTTCAACTTTTTAATTATGTGCAAACAAGGTACTGCACACATTACATTTTTGCAACTTCTGCGTGTTCACATTCAGCAGATTGGCAAGAACAGTACATTTCAATGCTCTGGCAGATGCCACTGTTTCCTTTGACATTCAAAGAGCACATTTTCCACAAAAAGGCTATAAATCATTATAATTACAGGGAGCATGAAAGTCTGGAGGACAAAAGTTCACTTTTTCTTTCCTAGAGACCTACTCATACAGGTACTGAATATACTTGTAAGTGTGAAAATATATGCGTATATGCTTTCTCAAAGCCTCTGTGAATCTGAATTTTAAACAATTACTGTTTTACAGTGTCTTTTGTTATTATAAGTGTTTCTAAGAATAAAGCTAATCTCGGAACACTGTGATTTCACCCTAATCTACAGACCTATGAATTTCTGAAGTTTCTTAGTTTGCCAATTCTGGCAATGCAATTACTCTGTGGCAGTAGGTTATGAAATTCTCAGGACACACTTACGTTTGTGCACATTTTCAAAATCTGTATTTGAAGCCGCCGCACAAAATTCGGTCATTTACTATGCATTTAACATGCAATTGCAACAGTTTACATTGATTCTTTCTTTCTTCTCCCTTTCCAATACTGTTTTCATTTAATTTTTTAAAAAGAGTGTCACTGAAGAGTGGGGCCTGATATACGGAGCCAAATATAAGGCTGTATTTTTTCTTAAATCACATGATGTAATGGGCTTAAGGCCCCTTGTAGCGTGGGGCACAGCTGTATCTCATTCAAGCCTTTTTTTTTTTTTTTTTAAACATCTACAGGGACTGGTTAGGATTTTAAGACATTTGTTTCCTGCAGCTTTTTTATTTTTGAAAATTTTAAAATGCTCCAAGAAACCAAAGCAAGAACTCTGCAAAATGTCAAGTTACTAAACCAGTTTATCAATTAACATAGTTATAGTCAAAACACAGTGGCAAGAGAATTGCTAAGTAAATGTACATCCACATACATAATTATAGTCGATATCATGCATACCATCCCCTCCCCAAGTTAAAGAAAATAATATGAAAAAGTCAGACAGTCAAAAGCCAAGTAGTACTGAACTAAGGGACTTAAACTCCCTAGTATGAAAACATCAACCTAAAAATTTTGTTAGGAAAGTATGTATTTTCTTGATAGGATGTTTGCCCATCATACAGATGGAAAGCTATACACAGAATGAGCAACTATTTAATAACTGTTTAGCCTCACTATTCATATGACTGCATGCATAGTGAGTATACACCACAAAAACATTTCTGAGTACAGACTGTTCAGTTTCTAAGAGGATTTCACTGTTTTTCATCCATAAGTCTTTATACTGAAGTAGGTTATATATTGAAATCTCAAGTAATTACTTCATATTAATAAAACTAATTATATTAAAATTGAAATCTCCACTAAGTAATGGGAACTGATACTAAATAGATTAGCGTAAAAATGCATCCTCTTTTGGCTATCCTTCTGGACACGCACCTAGCATTACTTTTCTCACAGCATTATTAAGTCTTCTTGAATTTAGTAGTGGATGAGTGCTCTCAACATTTCCACAAGCAAGTCTGCAGTATCTCAAACTGGAATCCCAGAAAACAAGAAACACCAATTACCAGCCACTTCCGAAAAGTCTGGTGACAGGGAGTTTCTTAGCATCACAAAGTCAGTAGTGGAGCTATAACCTAGCATTCCAGGGTAACTACACTGAATTTATCTGAGCAGTACCCCACTCCTTTTCACATCATATAACCTCCAGTTCTGGCAGCAAACGAGACATAGATCTGTGGCAGCCTCCTACTATCCACTGCGACTGACTTGGGAGGAAAACCAAAAATCTAATCATGGAAAGAGACTGGAGTGCCTACACACACCATAACTGAAGTAAAGCTTCTCAGGTGGCAGGCAGCAGTACTTGCAGATAGGTCCAACACACCTTTATTCTCCTCGGTTGGACCATGCATATGAATGCATTTCACTGGAACAAAATAAAGAAAATCTCCTTTGACACCAAAACAACTCCACCTTCCACATTCCTTCTACCCCAAGCCAGTTTCAGTTCTCCCTGCCAAGGTAAGGAGCATTCTGGGAAGAAATGGAAAAGCTGATGAAAATACATTTTTCTCTAATCACGGCCAGAGAAAACTACTCATCTGTTCTGGCTAAAATTGAGACAAGCACCTAGCATGGAAGGTTTTTTGCACAGCCTGGGTAAATTATAAGCAGCTTAAAAGATAGCCTCACAACAGAAAGCACTGAGTAGCTCAAATCCCTTTTAGTATGCAACAGAAAAAAAACACAACCTACTCTATGTAAAAGATTCATGTTTAAAAGCAATAATTAGGACTTCCAGATACCAAGATCATACAAGTAAGTCTATCACACACTCCTCAACTTTCCAAAGATTAAATAACAACAAAATTAAATATAAATATAAATATATATTTTAAAAAAAATTAAATATAGTGCACTTGTTCCAGCAGAAATGGAGCAACACATGCCAGAAATGTAAAGAACTCCAGAAGCATAAGTATACTTTATATGAATCGGTGAAGGACACAGAAGGATGGCATTTCCCTAAGGTCCCTAAAGCTGCACCAGCCCACATCATGCATCTACATTTCATCTAAGAACTGCTTCTGTATCTTGGCTTCAGGAACAACTGGGCTCCACAGCAGGTATAAGCCAGCCAACACTTTTGAACTCCAGGCTGCCTAGCAGAAACAGCTGTCATGAGCTTGCCTCAGCCTGATAAACTGGATGCTGGTACCCACAGCCTGTAGAGACTGTGCAGGAAGTCAGGTTACAGTGGCCATCACTACCACGAGTACAAGAAATGAAGAGTTAGACCTGTCAGAAGTTGGTTCCATCAGAAAGGCAAAACAGGAGAAAGGGACACCCTTCCCCAACAAGCACCTAAAATGCAGAATGCTTGGGAAGCAAGTTCATGATCTAGAAGAGTATTTAGAGCTTAGGAGAAGATTTCAATTGCTTAATTTCTCAAGTCTTCTAGGACTAAAACAGTCAGCCAAGTCTCCCTTCAGAGTAAGGAAAGGGAATACCATTTCTGGAGAGCAATTTGTTTTGCTTACCTACAGACAAATCATTTTCTGAAGTTCTTTAACTCTTCATTGATTGTAAAAGACAGTCTAGAATGATTAGTTTTTTGGTTTTGACACCTAACCTTTAGACACTTGAGTTAGGATGGATTATTCTCTCACCAAAGATATAATTGCATCCAGAAGTAGTGCACGAACTGTAAGCAATTTTTGATTTACTTCATTACTACAGTACTCCAGATACAAACCAGGCTTCCAGTGTCCTGATCGCTGTACTTACACAAAACAAAATGGCTAAATTAATATGAAGAACATTTAGAGTGGTCGTGGAACAAGCTGGTTTTTTTAATGCTGAGTTGTTTGCTAAGTCCAAAGAGGACCAATGAGGCCAAAGAGACATTATTTTGACAACCTATCCTGAATACTGCTTAAATATCCTAAGACTCATTCAACATCTTTATACAAAAAGTCCACAGGGCAGTTAATAAACCATCAAATTGGTAATAAAAGCATGCAAAACCATGAAAACAGAAGAAAAAGATTAACAGGTTGAGTTGCCATATGACATATTTTAAGTTTTATCATTAATTTAATTTATCATTACCACTGATCCTTTAAAATAGCTTTCTTTGGTGTGGTGTTCCTTCTCACATTTGATAATGTAACAGAAGTAAGTATCAAGACTAAGCATTTTATTGTCAGGCACACATCAGGAAACATGGGGGCCAACACTTCGTCCCACTAATTGCTTTTGAAGTCTGCTTTTCTTGCTTCTTAAATAACACTCGCAAAAAGAAAAAAAAAGTGAACATTATCCAATGGAAACTATCTCAACTGATTCAAAAATCTGCCTGAGACTTATAACTTTAAATCATTACGACAAATTGAACAAGCTTAGATGTCTCTTTCAGAAGAACACAAAAATGAAGACGCTGACTCTACTTCATTAAACAGATAACATATCTACTTAAGACAAACAGAAAAATTATCTCCAAGTATTCAGTTACATGTCTTCACCATAAAAAGAAATCTGATTTGCTTATAAAGCCTTTTTATTTATTTAGGAAATGCTCATGAAAGCTAAAGTTGAAGATACTGTATTAACATCACAAAGGTTATCAACTGTTTCCCATTCTGTAATCTACATACTGAATTGACAACCTGGTTGAAATCTCTACTATTTATATTAAGAATATTACCTTGCGTGTAGGCAGCATCATCAGATCCCATACTCAATTTCCGTGCATCACTGATCCTATCCACATGTGCTAAAACAGGGTCAGTAAGATGCTGGATACCCTCTGGTTCAACATAGTGATCAGGAAGGTTTAGAAGGTTTGTAGGTTCAAAGGTTGGGGACACTACCCCTGGGGAAACTGCAGGGGGCTTATTTGGAGAAACTGTAATTTTAAAAGTATATTTTGTGTTAGGCTGCGTAACCACCACTCGAGGAGAGGTTGCAGTGGTGCTGTTGCCCACTGCTCGACTCTTGGGTGGATGGTGATGAATAAATGCAGGACCCATGCTTACTTGACCAGACATATTCCTAGAAGTGGTAGATACTCCAGGATTTGTCGATATGAAAAGCGTGGGCTGGTTCCGCACAACTTGATCATCTCCTGTTGTGGCATTTGCTGAAATGTAGACCTTGGGCTGACCGCGTGTGATCACTTCATCAGTATTTGGAGGACTGGCCGATATGTAAACAGTGGGCTGACTTCTACTTAATGTGTGGCTGTTGTGGGAAGAGGGAGTAGTGGAGGTGCGAGGGCCAGTTGAACGCAACTTAGAAGAACTGTTTCTTTGTGGTGGTTCAAGTTTGATTTCAATTTGGTTTTTGCGAGGTCCTGTGGATATATTCTGAATGTTGTATTGGCTATGAGGAGAGGATTGTGAGCTACCAGATGAATGAATCATAGGTGCTTGTGGAGTAGTAGGAGAACTGATAGGCATATAGACATGAGAAGTCTGGTGGCCTTGCTGATTTGGCTGCGTTGAATGTTGCGATGAGGTATGTGGCGTAGTACTGGATGTAGGGAGAGTAGTCCAGGGACTTGGCTGCAAAGGCTGGTAGACTTGCTGAGGGTGCATGGGATTAAACTGAGATGCCCAGCCTGGCTGCTGCTGTGTCTGTCGAGCGGTACCACTAGGAGCTGTGATGTAAGGCCTAATATAGATAGAATTTCCCTGTGGACTGTTAAGTACAGGAGGAGGTACACCATGTATGTGCAAAGACGTAGGGGTATTGCGACCAGGCTGAATATTTGGGGCTAAAGTTACCATAATGGGGTTGAATCTGGGTGTTTGTTGAGACAAGTTAGATACTCCTTTGCTGCCTAGGTGAAATCCAAGATGCTGCCCTGGATTAGAAGTACTAACGGTATTAGCCATCCCAAAGACATTAAATCCTTGTGGAACCTGCGCCGGTGCTGTCTGCATCACTAACACTGTGAGCTAGAGTCCTACTTCCATTCATTCTACTTCCTTCTCTTCCATGGTGATACACGTTCTGTGACTGCAAATCCAAATTAAGAGATGTCATGTGATTTCGTAGTCCAGGAATCCCAGAATCATCCGAAAAACTTAGGTCTCCTTCACCGTAGAGATACTTTGTGCTCTCCTGGGAGAGAACTGCACAACAGGCATCCAAATTATTGTTATTCTATAAAAGACAGATGAAAGTTTGACATTACTGATAAAATACCATCACAGTTAGATATATATGCATCCAATCACCATTGAAAAATTAACAATATAGCATCAAACAGAAAGCTTTAGGTTGTTGGCTAGCACAGCTGCTACACATGCACAAGGAGCCTGCATGTGAAGCTTACTCTTTTGAGAACAGCGACTCAGTCACTGGCACGAAGGGTGGAGGAAGCAGTAACAGGGAGATCTTGGACCTTGACAAGCTAACAGTATGATACACCTTGGATGAATACTTTTGCTATTCCTTCTCAATTTCAGAACAATCTTCAGCAACAACCAAGTCTCTGGCTTGAGGGGGAAAATGACAGAAGCAATGGATTCAAGGCACCTGAATATTACTGGTTAATAACTTAAAAACAGAAGTCAAAATATATGTTTACTTTAAATGTTTTCCCAAACACTTCCAATACCAGTTACGCATTACCTCCTGAAAAGTGAATCTTATGCACAGAAGAAATATGCTGACCCAAGGAGTTACATGACTTCAGAAGAAATATAAAAATTCGGTTTATACAAATGCAGCAGGATTACTCTTCTGCAAGATGAAACTATTAATGGAAAACCTAGGGGACATTTGCATTTTCATTTAAACCACTGCTTGAAAGACTTTTAAATACTTACACATTTGTACAAACTTACTTTATAAAACCTCTAATAGGATGACTTAGAACAAAACCCAAAACCTAGCTAATTTGCTTTTTAAGAACATTTCAGAAGCAAACTTCTAATCCCTCTCCTCTTTTTCCACGTTTTGTAATGTTGTACTATGATCTTCCCAATCTAGTTTCCTACATAAGGATTTTTAAAAGAGTGAACGTGCATCAGTGGCATAATTTCTTAATATTGTGCTCTGTCCACATCACTTTTCTTACAGAACTCCCTCCCACCTCCAAGAAATAAAGGTTAATACTTTCAGCCAGAAGAGCACCTGTTGAGGCCCAGATGTTATTAAAACTAAATAGGTGTCAAATTCATTCAGCACACACAAATATTTACTAGAAAGAATGCATATGATCAAGGAAAAAAATTGCATATGCCAAGTAGTAACTTTATCAGTTAGTTAAAGCATAACACAAGCAAGACAAATTGATCCATGCTACATGCTTTATATCAAGTTATTTTTGTTACACTAGCAGACAATAGCTCTCATCCTTCAACCAGGATGAGAGGTCATAGTGTTGTGCAGACATAGCAAGACTGCCTCTACCTTACAGATTTACACCC